TCCGATTAATAACGTCATATGCTCTCCTCGTCCTTCTCTGTGACGTCATTGACATTATTAATTGTTCTCGGAGCGATCAAACCCGTCCAAAAACGCTATAAGAATTTCTGCGGTACCCTAGGTCATTCTGATACATTCTGATATATAGAGATCCATGCTTCAATACATGTCTATCATATCTGACAAAATCATTAGGAATTAATGATAACAAAAACGTGTATAAATTCTAGTTTGCAAAACTAGTTTACAAAAGAAGAAAAACTTCATGTTAACAAATTGTAAAAAAATAATTTTTTTACAATTGTTTTACAGGCTTATTTCATAAAGCAATAGCACAAAGTGGAGTTGCAAGGAATCCTTGGGCTTTTACCGAAAGACAACATTCGATGAACAGAGCTTTTCGGCTCGCCGAAATACTCGGAAAAGCAACCGCGGATCCAAAAGTCGTTTACAAGTTTCTTAAAACCATCGATGCCAAAAAGCTTATAGAGACGGAACAAAAATCTCTCTTGACAGAAACAGTAATTATCCGAACACTTGATTGTAATTTTAGTAATTTTAGGATAGTGCAATAAATTATACACTATTAAAAATTGTGCAAATAAAGTACTTCCTTTGATAACAACTTTCTCGCAGGAGCGTCAACAGTTTGTCATGACATTTACGCCTACTGTAGATCACGAATCATCAAATCCATTTTTCCCGGAAGATCCAAAAACGTTCTTGAGTCGCGAGGCTAAAGTACCATTACTTTTGGGTTTTACCAGTTGCGAGGGATCTCTCATTATATGCGGTAAAGCTTTCGGACGTAAGTTTTGTTTCTATCTTTATTAAATATTTAACATTATTAATCGCGTCAAATATAATAATATTGTACATATATCTGTAAAGAATTAGTAAATTTGACCGTGATTTTTGTGTACATATGTAAGAATAGTAATTATGCGTCAGAACAAATAATTTTGATTCCAAAATAGCGTTACTTTTATCGTACGATTTATACATTTATCTATACAGATAAGTTTATCGTATGTCAACGCAAACATTATAATTTTATATGCAGTATTATCTATCATACATATCGCATGA